ACCACTCCCTCGCATTGGCGGCTCAAGTTCATCCTGGAGTCAACAGTGACTCCAAGATCCCTTTCTGCCACTGTGTTGACAAGAGGGGTGTTCCCTAGCCTATAGGTGTGTTGCTGGTTCCTTCTCCCTAGATGCAGCACCCTGCACTTGTCTGCATTGAATTCCATCCTATTCTCTTCTGCCCACTTCTGTAACCTATCTAGACCTAGCTGGATTCTCTCCCTCCCCTCCAGCCTGCCCACCTCTCCCCACATCTTGGTGTCATCAGCAAATTTGGACAACATGCTTTTCACAGCCACATCCAGATTGCTGATAAAGATGTTGAACAGTACAGGCCCCAGGATCGAGCCCTGTGGGACTCCACTGCCCACATCCCTCCAGGTTGAAAACAACCCATCCATCGACACTCTCTGGGTGTGACCATCTAGCCAATTTGCCACCCATCTGACTGTAGGCATCAAGCCACAGTCATCTAGTTGTTTTTAAGAGAATGTGGTAGGAAACAGTGTCAAAGGCCTTTTTAAAGTCCAGGAAGACGACATCCACCTCGACGCCCTTGTCCAGGGACTTTGTGACCTGATCGTAAAAGGAAGCCAGGTTAGTCAGGCAGGATCTGCCCTCAATGAACCTCATGTTGATTGCCCCTGAGCATTACCCTCCCCTACTGGGCCCTTGCAGATGTGTTCCTTGATAATTTTCTCAAAGGTCTTCCCAAGGACCAGGGTGAAACTAACTGACCTATAGTTACCCAGGTCCTCCTTTCTCCCCTTCTTGTAAATAGGAATCACATTGGCTCTTTTCCAATCCTCTTGTACCTGGCCAGAGCCCCATGAGCACTCATAAAGCTGTGCCAGGGGCCCCACTATGACCCCTGCCAATTCCCTTGGCACCCTTGGGTGGAGATCATCTGGACCTACTGATTTAAAAATGTCCTGCCCCTCCAAAAGTTCCCTATGTCGTCCCTGACCCTAAGCATGGCGGTGCCTCCCCTGGGTCTGTCTGTAATCCTAGCAGGGGAAATGGCCCCTGTTGGCCAGTCCCTGTTCAGGAATGTGGAGGCAAAGAATTAATTAAAGAGGTCAGCTTTTTCGTTTGCTGCAATCACCAGATTGCCAAGCCTGTCCTGTAGGGGCCCTGTGTTACCCAGTGCCTTCTTCTTAGTCCCTATGTATTTGAAAAAGGACTTTTAAAATCTAAAATCTTAATCTCTAAATCCATCATAATGGAAAACAATGGTATGATGCAATGTTGTTGTTTTATAAAGAATAAATGTTTTGATTTTACAAGATTATGATTTAGGCAGCTTTGTTGCTTCCAGAGACTTAAAGAATTGGAACCACCCCTATTTTTCAACATGTTTTTAAGTGGTGGTACAATGGAAACTCAGAATGTCCGCAAATGATTAATTTGTGGCATGCACATGATTTTGGCCACCTGTACAAAACAATTACTTTTAGTAGACATAACAGCCAGTGACAAAGGCCAAGAGTGAGAGTGTGGTTAAGGGTTTATAAAAGGCACCACCTCCCTTTACAACATCTGCCTGTTGGTCCTCTAGCCCCCGCAGTATGCTCTTTAATTTTCCCAAGAGGCTGACAAAGTACAATTTGGAAATACTGGTCTTCTTCCCAACTTGTGGAGTTTTTGGATCTCTTCCCTGGACAGCTTCTTGGTGAGTTGTTGTTAAGAAGACTCAGTGAGGTGATAGCCCAATCTTTCATCCCAGCTGTTGCCAGTTAATCCTACTTAATCACAGCTGGGGAAGTAACTGGTCTGTCCCTTAACACTTTTGGGGCTATTGAATCATAGGGATTATGAGCACCATCACACCAAGCTACACCTTAAAAGAACCATAGAAGGGGGTCAAAATGAAAGGATTAACTAACCAATTGAAAGGAACTCCTAGGGGCAAAAAACCAAACAACCCCCACCCCCAAAAAGCCTGGACCCAGATTTATGGGCCTTCTTAATCTGCAATGCTCTGGGTTTCAGGGCACCTATACATGAGCAGTGAGGCTGCTCTGATGTGCTGTAATTAGTGTGGAGAATTCTTGATTAATCAAGTCTGGTGGGCGTGGTCATTACCATGCTACAGAAGACTCCACCATTTCGCGTATCAGCTTAAAAATGATGGCGGGGTCGCTTTAACTAAAGCTCATTCAACAAGCTTTAAAGTGCCCCCACTGCCATTTTTAAGTGTGGGGACACTGATACACGAGACGCTCTGGGAGCTTTAATCAGAGCGGCTCATGGAGCCGTCTGAATTAAAGCACACAGACACAGCCACACCCCCTTGAGCATGTGTACAAACAGGGTTTAGGGACATTTCACATGGGGAGCGACCCTGAGAATATCATTCCCTGATCAAATCCCACCATGGGATGATTACCACCTGCACCATCCCATATGATGGTTTAGTGGTATTAGTATCATCTAGCTCTGTAAACTAAAAGGATATTTGGGTTGAAAAGAGATGTGGAAATATTGGCCACCTCTTGGTTCATTCTCAAGTTTGTGTGCCATGAAATGAAATGGAGAGGCCTCAATGCTGTTTTAAATGGGCTAATGGGGATTTTTCCAGCACAAAAAAACCTTGGCAGCATATAGCCAATGTAGCCAGCACCAATTCACAACTATGATTTGTGGCAAGAATTCCAGACATTTTGGCAATCCCTGCCCCATGTAATGGACTCTCCGGATCTGTTGCTCTCTAGAACAAATGTAAACCTGCCTTCAAGACACCCCAAATTTTGAGGAGACTCACACACAATAAGGATGAAGCATAAGCTACCCTTGCTCCAGCTGTTCTTTTTCAGCTTGTGTAAAGAGTGAGCCCATTGAATACAGGGCCAATAGATACCAAAATGAAAATGCACAAATAAAAGATTGCAGTAAAAAAGTTTAGAATGTTTTCTTAATTTTAAAAAAATCTTTAATCTCTGGATGAGATTTTACTTAAGATAATGCTCTGATTTACTATTCCCAGGGTTTAGCTCTCTTTGCTGTGTCATTTCTTCATAGCAAATAAACAAATCCTGCAGTGCTAACTACTTGCTAATCTGGAAATAAATCTGATGCCTTCCTAAATTGCTAGGCTGAAGAGGAAGAGACCCTGTGGAGTTTAATTTTGAAGTATCTAGTTACTGTACTTTCTTAGGGGCGTTTCAGTCTGTCCAAGCCTGCTTGCTGCTTCCTTGCTGGCCAAGGAACACTTGGATAGCTCACATTAGGCAGCACAAATTATTATTTTACATTTTATCTCTAACATCATATTCTGAGAAATAATTATACTGGATATTTTATTTGTTCAATTATTTATAATATTTCCCTTCTACAGAACACTGTGATCACACAGTGAGCCACAACAAAGGGAAACTGTATTTCCTGCCCCTCCCCCGTGTTGTATATAGGGCAGGCTTCCATCAGGTTTACAAATTTTCAGTGTCTAGACACTCAAAATACCCAGGATATATTATCCTTGATGCTCAGTTTAAATATAGTGAAGTATCTTTTTCTTTAATAGTCTCTTTGTTTGTGAAACTTCATCCAATGGCATGTAGGAAAATGACAGGACCATTAAGTGCAAAAAGAAATCTACTCTAATATTTTTATGGAACTAAGCAAAAGTAAGAAGTGAATGGATTTAGATTGCTTACGTCTTCTATAGCTATTGTGCTGAGCCCAGTACCGCAACCATCTGTTTGTAAAGCTCCCTTTGAAGTTGATGGACTCAACAGAGTGAATATAATGTTAGATTTGCTTAAGATGTAAACAACATAACCATAAAATTCAAAAGTGATATACTATAGAAGCATTCTACCAATATCTTGGATAAGTGTCTCATATTCCAGATGCCAGTAGATTCTTTTAACTATCACTGGCCAGTCACTGTGTTGTCCCAAATTTTGGCCTGTCATTATCTATATTATTGTTGTCAGACTGCTCTTCAAAACAGAAAGTGCATCTTATTCTACATTTTGTGAAGACAAAGCACATCTGAGATACCCAAGATTATTTTTAAGAATAATACAAGATAAATATTCTAAATAACCCAAAACAAGAGACAACCGGAATATATGAATGCATTTTCAAAGGACCAAAGTCCAATAAATGTATTTGATAAAATATGGAACAAATTATACACTTTTATTTTTGCAAGGACAAAAATACCTTTCCCTTACAAGTCAGAAAATGAACTGGTTTAAGTACCTGATTTGCACCACCAACTAAATATTTTGGTATAAGGACACAAATTTGTGCCTCACAATTGAACGATTTTCAGTTTCTAGTTTCCAGTTTGCACTAAAATTGAATGGTAAACGCTAAAAGTTTTCAAATACCACAGGTACAAATTGCACATAAAGATGACTATTTTATAAGCTAAGCCAGGGGTCTGCAACCTTTGGGCAGCAGTGAGCCTAGTTAATGGAGCTCGGCCTAAGGCAGGCTGCTGCCTGCAACATATCCACTGTTGATTCACACCACTGCAATGTGTCACCAATTTCCCCTACAGCTAAATGTCACCATGTCGCTGGTAGGTGCTGTAAGGCTTCGGCCCCTTTCTGGTGGGTGCCTTCCTCCCTAGTGACGTCAGGGTGAGACCACACTTTGGGGCCACATAGATGTTTCCGAGCGCTGCCTCTACTTGCCTGCCACGACTTCAATTTTGATAGATGGGGAGGCAGTTTCCTGTCGGTGGTCCCAGACAGGTCGAGACCCTGGTCTTTCTTCGTGGGGCTCCAAACCTCCCCTTTACCCCACCCTTACCACATCCATGGCCTGGGATGTCTCAGCTCCCCATAATCTTCCCTGGGATAATATCGTCTCACCCGAGAAGACCACCACGACCGGGGTCGGGTCTGTTTGGCCGTCAATCTCCCCCGAATCAATCCCTTGTCTTCGAACCAACTTTTGGGTAACTAAACTTGCCCCAGCCTGGTGTTAATGATAGCTTAGAAAAAGGCTTAACTCAAAGAGATGTTCAGCGTCCGCCGATGGGAGTGCCTGGGACTCTGGCCCCCAGGACCCTTCTTCCTCCCTGGGATGAAAGAAGGAGTTTCGCCCATCTCTCTGGGTACTCTTCCCTGGTACCAGCAGGCTAGGAGTTAATCACTCCTGATCCCACCACCTGGCGGAACTTGCCCCTTCTCTGCTGGGCTCTGGGTCAGTTGCTGCTTGTTCCTCTTTCTTCACCAGGCTGCCTGCACAGTTTTGCCGTCGCTCATCACTCTTCCCCATCACGGTACCTGGACTCTCCGGAGCAGCCTGGTCTTTGCCCATGATGGTGAGGACACTCTTCTCTTCCCCGACGTGACCCTCCGGCAGACTTCAGCTCCCTGAGCCCAGACCTGAGGTTTTTTCTGACAGGTTTCCTCAGCTGCCGCTGAGGCTTCTTGCCATGTGCCCCACTCCGCCGCTTCTAACAGGCTGTGCCACCTATGTCTCCCTGCCAGCATTCCGTCTCTCCCCACCGGCAGCCAGTCTTCCCCTGCTGGCTTTCTCTTCTCCGCCGGCATTCCACCCTTCTTTGCCCAGCTCCGCCATCCATCTCTCCCCACCAGCAGCCAGTCTTCCCCAGCCAGCGTTCTCCCTCTCTAGATCAGGGCAGCTGGGTCTCTCCCCAGCTGCCTTTTGATGGTCCCACGCTGCCTTTAGGCCCTGGCCCTGGGGCTCGCCGATCCACAGGCTCAGGCAGCTGTGGAACTGCCAAGCCTGCACCTTTTCCACACAGCTGCTGCTCATCCCGGACCCTGCCATGAGTATCGGTGTTTGTCGGGAGGGGTCCCGGGACATGTTGGGAGGGAGGCTTCTGCCTCCCCTCTCACACACCACATGACACCCCTAGCTGTAGATTCCCTCCATTGTCAAATACCTTCACCACCCCAGCTCCACAGGACAGATGCAATTCCTTTGCAGCAGGCTGTAGGTTGCCTGCCCTCAACTTAAGCTACAAAGTACATACAAAGTATTTGACAGCAATTGTTGAGCAGCAGTTTTTTTTACTGTTAATTATATACCTCACCATAAGAAATGTAAAAGATGAGAGTGGTAATTTTTAGATCAGTGATTCTCAACCGGGGTGGCCCTGGCACCCTGGGATGCCATGAAATCCTATTGAGGGTATATGGATCACACAGATAGCTGCAACTCAGGAGGGGCACTTCTGGACGTGTTCAGTAAGGTGTACTCCCACACCCCACCCCTTTTTACTCAAGCTGCGGGAGGCCAAGGATCCATCACCCAGGACCCTGGCTTCCCCAAATAGCCAGCCTGAGGCTTGCCCCCAAACTATAGGCTTCCCAGGCCCTGGGCTCCCTTCCCCAGGTCTACAGCTGAAAACACAAACTAATAACAATAAATAAAAAGATTGCAACAGAAGGAATAACATCATTTCCCTATAATCAAAAAATGAGGGAAAAGACCTGGCATTTCCACAAGTGTTCTGAATCTGACAAGTGATACCTTGATTATAAGGCTGAGAACCACTGCTGGCCTCACCCCCCGCCCTGTTCCATCCACTCCGTTGCTGCTGCCTCTAGGGAGCGGGGGGGGGAGGGGGAGGAGGAGGCCAGCTGCACTGGCCTTGCCCCCACCCCCCGACTCCATCCCATGTCCCCGCCATTATGTCGGCACCCTGCCGTGCTACCACCTCCTGTCCCATTGCTGTAGTCGCACTCTGATTGGCTGTTTCAGTCAGCCAATCAGAGCACGAATAAAGCATTATGGACAGACAGACAGACAGATAGCTTAAGGCTTTTATAATATTAGAATATAAGAACATGATCTACTGACTCTAGAAAGAACACAGAATAATGACAGCTCAGTATTTCTACCCAGGTACAAAGTTAGTCAGGGTGCCTTGGTACTCCCCCAACATCTACCCATGAACAAAAAGGTGTGCAAGCTTCTCAAAATATCAACATTTAAAAAAATACGAATAGCAAAGAAACTGATTTGGGAACCACCACCCACAAAAATGTGTGTGGCGGAATGCCAGTGGGATGCTCACCAATAAGGGATGTTGCAAGCTCTGTGGGAGCTTGTTGGCTATGCAGCAGGGAAAGCCCTTCCCCACTAACCATTTTAAAGGGGAAGAAGGGTGTCAGAGCACTCATGGCACTCTGCCACTTTAAGAACTGGGCCAGGCAGCAAGCAGGTGCAGCCCAATCCTGACGAGCGGCCATTTTAAGATTCAGGCCAGCAGGGCTGAAGGCAGCAGCTGCTGCCTGGCGCTGAGGAAGGAACATCTCCCGGCAGAGCTGCTGCTCCACAGACAACACGGAAGTCAAGACAGGAGCTGTGGGGTGGCTTGGAGGCTCCTGGTTCTGGGTATGACTTGAAACTGCACCCTGCTGGGGGTGGGTGGTCTGGCAAGGCTCCTAGCGGCATAGGAGCCCTCAAGAAATGCCAGACCAGTTACCGCCCAGGCGAAAGGTTAGGAAGGGCATCTTAATAACCCCAGCCCCCACTTTAGAGTGGGTAATGCAACATTGAAGGGAGTTAGGGCCAGGCACGCCATGTGGGGCACCTGAGCCCAGTGGGGCCAAGGCCCTGCAGTGTGGGTAGTTGGGCCAGTCATGGCTGCGGCCACCTAAGCCCAGTGGGGTGTAAGACCCTGCGAAGAGAAGGAGAAGTGTGGGCCAGGCACGCTGACAAGGGGTACCTGAGCCTGCAGGGGTGCATGGCCAGAGAGAAGGGGGCACAGTATGCGTCTCAGGAGAGGTGAAGATGCAGAACTGAGCGCAGAGAGGCACCTGAAGGGCTGCATCAGAGTAACAGAACCAGTGGAGACCCTGAGAATAAGGGGAATGAGTTGAGGTCATGTTAACTTGGGGGACTGAATTAGGTCCAGGTAAGCCTTCAGGTGCCTGAGGCCACAGGTTGGCCTGAGGCCGATTGGAGGGTGGCAGAGGAGAAGCTGCGGAGAAATAAGTGGCAAGTCAGCATCCCTGTATGGAGAGCAGCTGTGGGGGAGTTACCTGGCTACAAGACAGGGGCAGAGTCTGCGCAGTATTTTGCAAACCGCCCAGTGCTCGTTCGGATGAGGGCAACAGGAAATGCCAAAAAGGCCACATGCTTGCTTGCCACAGAGTGAAGAGAATCAAGCCAGAGGACCCTTTGGGATAGGACAGGGCGAGTGTGGCCCTGGGGAAAAGGAGGGACAGTAAGAGTGAAGCCCAGTAAGGGCAGTATAAGAGAGACCGTGTGAGAGATGGTGGAGTATGAGAGGCCTCAGCGAGAGGGAGGCAGTATGAGTGTGGCCCGTAACAGAGCAGGTCGCGAGAGGCCTAATACTGTAACGGGTTGGGCCCGGCCTCAGGCTGGAGCTTTACACAGCTGTTAGAAACATCTGCGATCCATGGGACATATAAGGGACAGTAAGAGCATGTACTCAAGGCCCTAGACAACAGGGTCCAGAAAGGGCAACCTCCCACCTAATTAAGACCTTAATTTCTTAACAGCAAGGCATGACAGGCAAGACAGACGGGCAGCATGCCTAGAGGCATTGGGAGACCAGCACTGTGGGGAGAAATGCACATTTTGCCTGTAAAGATAAAGACACGCAGGGTGTTAGAGAATCTCGGAGATCCTGCCTGTCATACTTAGAAAGAAACCAGTCTCTTCTAGAGGAAACACTGAGGCTCAGAAAGAAGTTGCCACATCTGACCAAAGTGTAAAAACCCACTACTCTACTTTACCCTGGTACCATGCTACCTTATTCAACTGCATTCTTCTTATAGCAATTACCACAAGAGAGAACCACTGAAGAGCTGCTACAAATGAACCTCCCTTATCTTGAAAAGAAGATTCATTTTTAAACCACAAAGTGCAGCTTCTTCAAAACGTCTCTGTTTCTCAAATCTATAGGAGAAACTGGAAAAGAGGGACAGGAGGATCATAAGACAAGGAGAGACTTGCAGAAACCGACAAAGAATGAAGACCTGTAGGCATCAGTGGTGAAGGAAACTATAGGAAACTCCATACCCCTAGCCCAGGGGTGGACAGAATACAGCCCACGAGCTGGATCCGGCCCACCAAGGGATTTTGTCTAGTCCACAGCAGGTCCCTTGGTCCTGCCTGGCCCAGGCATGGGGGACAGCCCGGGCCATGGTATGTACAGTGAGTCCCACCACCCGCAAGTGCACAGAGGGGCTAGGGCAGCACGGTGGCTGGACTTGTTTTCCAGCAGCCCCGGCAGTGGTGACTTCTTCTGGCTGCTACCACCACCAGACTTGGCCCTACTGCTCAAGTACACCAACCCCTCTGCCCCGCACCTACAGCGTGGCAAGACCTGTGCAAGCAGGGCATACAGCCGGATGGACAGGATAGGGTCATGGGCCAGCAAGGAGTGGCATCCAGGAGCAGAAGAGGCCAAGGCCAGCATCATGGGGAGTGACAACACACGGCCTTGGGGCATAGCTGCAATCTGCTGCCTGCACGTCCCTACGGCAGGTGCTGTTTCACAGGCAGGGGCATGAGGGGAGCAAATCACAGCTCTGCCCTGGTCTTTGGGCCCATGCTGTTACTGCCCCATGATCCTGATTCAGCCCTAGCCACCCATCCTGCTCCTGGATGCTGCTCCCTGCCCGCCCATCTGCAGCCCCATTACGTCTGCCTGGCTGAGTGTGAAGCAGAACCACTTAGGGAGTTTTGGTGAGATGTTGTGGGGGAGAGTGGTTTCTGACCTAGCACAGTGGGGGAAAGGAGGAGTGTTGACCTGGAAAAATAATTGCCCACCCCTGCCACAGCCCTACTCTCTGTGTCTCTATCCTTTCTCTTACAGTTGTTAGCTCTATAGACCCTTATAGGCCCTGAGCTGTTTTAAAATTACCATAAATTAAGTCAACTTAAGACACAA